CAGCCTCTCCCTGCAAATAAAATATTTATGATTGCTCTAAGTCGATGGACTGGCTGACAGTATCCATTAGCCACATGCAGCATATCACTGCACTTTTTTGTTCTGCCTGTTATGGCGAGGTAGTTTAAAATGTTTTGAATGAAAGTCATGAAAGCAAATGCTTCAAGTAAAAAGAAGAGGGAGAAAAGGAGACTTTATATAGAGGTCTTTCCCATGACGGGAAATGGTGGGCATTTTATTAAGCAGAGAGGCAGTTGATAGAAAAGTGAATATGTTCATAACATGGCACAGGGGCAGAAGAAAGAGGAATAATAAAAAAAATATTAATTATTATTATTTATAACTTTTCTGCGAAATGAGCTGAGCCATAGCTATCTCAGTGAAAGAAGTTAGGTCACATTGACCATGTCTAGGAGATGATCCATAACAACGTGTCACATCCACATCTGTCTCTACCAGCAGCTCAGAACATTTTAAAAACTGTGCTGAAAATATCTTTCAATATGCTGTCCCTGGCCAGAACAAGAACAACTCAGGAGGGCCCAGGGATAGCACAGCAGGTCAAAACCTGCCTGTTTAACAGTAGGACGCTCAGCAAGGATATGGTTAGTCTTTACCAGGACTACTTGTGAATACCACTTGCACAGAGTAGTGAAAACCTGTAGTCTTGCAACTCTTGTTGGTAACTGGCACAATATAAAGCAGTTGCAGATATAGCAGGAGGAGAGTTTTCCTTGTCACCACCCTTCCGGCTACAGCATCTCTGCCCTCCATGAACAAGTGCCCAAGAGTGTTTGCAGGGTCCAGGCACAGGCCGCAGCATCCACAGGATAATGTGTATAACAAGAAAGCTGCACACTGTCAGGGTGAATGTCCAGATTGGAGACTGCATCTGCCCAGTCTGAGGCCAATGGATGAAGTATAAGATCCTTGTGTATACCCTGCAAGACAACAAATAGCTGTAGCGTTGCCTTTAGTAGCTGGAAGTGTTGGTGGCCATGGTGAGTCACAGACTTATCAAGGACCAAGACAGGTGGGACTAGAACAGTATTTCAGTGTCACCTGAAGACAATTTTCAACTCCAAAGGTACACAGGCCTTCTGGAGGTAGGAAATGCCTGAAATTGAATTTTGAGGTGTGCAGCCTCAAGCACTTCTAAACATCTGACATAAAAACCCTGGGCTGTGTCACCTTCGTGACTTCGTATTGACCATAGCTGAACCTGTGTATAGTATCAGGTAATTATCAGTGTGCAAAAATTAAAACCTCTGGAAAAGCTCTTTGGAAAGACAAGAACAAGTGAGGAAGGTACAGAGTCCTTGGCTTGTGGAAGAAGTAAAGTTGGAAGTGATGTATAAGCATCGGGAGCCCAAGATGGGTGGGATGAATTTACTATTACATAATCTCTGAAGTTGCAGGGGTGGGAAGATAGCACAGGGGTAGGTATTGACGAAGGGCTAGAGAGCCACAAGGAGACCTTGGTGTGTGAAGTGAGTTCAGTGCTACCTAAAGCAGCAATGAAGCGCCCCGTCTTCTGTTACCAACAGTGTAATGGGCACAAAGAGGTTCCTGCTGCTGGGAGGCAGTTGTCAGATTCATTGAGCATTTAAGTTGAAAGGAGATTGCTTGAAAAATCCTGATTTGGCTCTGTACTTTGCACTATCTATGTATAAGTTATATACTTACATATAGATTAATAGTCATGTAGTTCAGAGAGTAAAGAGCTAGAGTTACAAAGTAATTTTAAAATACTGATTTTAGTTGCCTATTAAGTTTCATTCTTCTTGAGGAGAATTAGCATTTTATTCTGCTTTTCTTAGCCCTTTTAAGTGTGTGGATGTGGATATCTTGTAAGGCTTTCTGCAATAGCAGGCCCTGTGAGTTTAGATCCTTTCTCTCTCTTGCTGACATATTTTTAAAGTTTTTTTTCCCCCTGCCAAAGACCTGTTTTCTGTATTTCAGGTTACAACATGCTGTTCCAAGAGGATTCTAATCTGTTTAAGTGTCCCTGAGTGTAGAGGGCAGTTCAGGTCTCTCTCAGGACTCTTGATGTACCTAACCATATAGCACACAAGCATTTTCAGTTTGCTGATCCAAATAGTCATCAAAGTAACTTGCTGGTGATCATTGCTTACTCTTGTGAAATGCAGAAATTCACTGTCACAGGATTTGTTTGGACTGCAAACAAAGCTACTCCTTAGCTTCATGTTTTTTCCTGACTCTTCATTATTGAATAAATACTTACAGAGTGTCCTTCCTGATGTCATCTCTAAGACTATAAGGGATACTCTGGAAAAGCTGGATGCTTGGTGTTAGTAGATTTTTTTATTCTCCTATCCTTAAACACACAGACCTTTTCTCTTTTTCTGCTCTTGGGAGAAGATCCCCACTGGCCTGCAAATCCCAAGATTTTTCCGTTTTAGAGACTAGTCATGTGGCACTCTAAAAAAGAACATTGAATAATTGATGATATTTTGCACAGCCATGTAGTTTTTAATTAGTGTTTTTCACTTTGCTTCTAGAACATTGGCTGAAAGAAAACCATCTGTTCCTGATGTCTGCCTGCAGTTGCACATCCCCTGTTTGTCCATCAATTGCTTTGATAAACCTTCAGAATTTGTCAAGGCAGAGTTCTGATTTTATCACTGAAAATGTTATTGGCCTTTTTCTAAATATACAGTAAATAATACAAATTTTCATTTCCCTTTTCAGCAGCTTTGCATCCAGGTACCTTACCCTGGCTTATGTTTCATTTTTTTAAAAATCCCTACTGAGTAGTTTTAAGTGCTGCAATTTAATACCAGTTGTGTGTGTGAAGAAGCAAGCCAGAAATATTACCAAAGTATGTGCTGCCAAGGGAAAAGAACCTTGAACCTAGCAAGATAGTTGGTGTAATATAAAAAATAAATAGCAGGAAGGCTAGACTAAACAGAGAAGTTGTTAACTACTGCTGCAGAATTTTAAGCAAGCTCATTGTTTCAAAAACATTTCAAGTGTTATGATTAAAAATAAAGATCTTTTTCAGTCAAGTACCTTTTATTTCCATTTAATCCTTGCCCCTTTGGGAGCTTTTGTTGTTTTCTGTAATATTTGCTATCTGCCACCAGAGGGGAATGTACACAAGCAATTTGGCTTCTGGTAGTTGGCACGGGAGAAAACCTTTAGCTTTCCAGTCAAGTGTAAGTGCTCAAATGACCCAACTTTAGTATTGACAGAAGAAATCTTACTTCCCCCCCCCCCCCCCAAATTATGAAATGAGGTTTTCCTGTAATAAATTTCTTACTGACTGTAAATAAGCTTTCATTTACTAAAAAAAACCCCTCAACAAAAGTTTAGAATAATGAGAAGTTTTTAAATGTAATTTTCTTGCATAACGAAAAGTTCCCCAAGTGGGCAAATGAGATGAAAGTGATTTGTTTACAGAAACTTGTGCACACTACTTCTAATAATGTAACCAGAGCTTTCCAAAGAATAGCCTTACAAAGCTGAAAAATGGTCACGCAAAATATATTTCCTTGGTCTTTGGACTGATGATAAATGGAAAGCTTGGAAATGAATAGTTTTAGCTGTTGAGTTGTGTTTTTCTTTCCCACAAAGGATGCCATTCTGTACTTAAGGATCCAATAAGTTTTCCTTTAAAATTTCAGTCTATAGCTCTTATGGTTGCAAATGAAACTTGTAAATGTACAAGCCATAAGTCTGTGATGTACAGTTGTAAGCCATTCTAAAAGTGGGACATTGACTCTGAAAAAACACTGTATTCCATTATTATACTGTTCTGCTCTTCTTTTTTTTAAAGGCCAAAACGTATGACCTTTTTGGACCTACTGAACTGTTTTTATCCTTATGCTTACATTCTTTCTTTCTTTTTTTTTTTTTTTTTTTTTTTTTTTTTCTCCCCAAATGAAAACGCCTTATATTCAAACTCTATTCAGGCCAGAATCTGACTCAATGTCACGTTGATTTTTGCATCTTTGTCAGAATGAGTAACAACTTTGACATACACCCAGCTAAGTCTCTTCTATT